TGCCACTGGCTGGCCCAATCACCCTGGTCAAGTCATTTCCTCCACACAGAGTAGAATCATCAGATCACAGAATCATCAAGGTTGGAGGAGACTTCTAAAATCATCAAGTACAACCATTAACCTGCCACTCTGCTGTAACCACTAAACACTAAACTATATCATCCAGCACCAGATCCAGATGTCTCTTAAACACTTCCAGGGATGATGACTCCATCACCTCTCTGGGCAACCTATTTCAGTAAAGAGCCATGAGGTCACCCCTGAGTCTCTTCTCAAGGCTAAACAAACCCAATTCATAGAATCATAGAATTTTCAGGGTTGGAATGGACCTTGGAGATCATCTATTCCAAATGCCCCCTGCCATGGGCAGGGACACCTCCCCACCAGACCAGGTTGCTCAAGGTCTCATACAGCCTGGCTTTGAACACTGCCAGGGTTGGGTCCTCCATTACCACCCTGGACAACCTGTGACAGTGTCTCACCACCCCCACAGTAACTTTTTCCTAATATCTAGCCTAAATTTCCCCTCCTTCAATTTGAATCCAATATCCCTTGTCCTGTCACTGCAGCTCCTAACAGAGTCCTTCTTCAGCTCTCCTGTAGGCCCTTCAGACACTAGAAGGCTACTATGAGGTTTCCACACAACCTTCTCTTCTCCGAGCTGAACAGCCTCAACTTCCTCAGCCTGTCTTCATAGGAGAGATGTTCCAGTCCTCTTAGCAACTTTGTGGCCTCCTCTGGACTTGTTCCAACAGTTTCATGTCCTTCTGATGTTGAGGACACCAGAACTGTATGCAGTATTCCAGATGGGGTCTCACAAGAGCAGAGTAGAGGAGGAGAATCACCTCTTTTGACCTACTGGTCACACTTCTTTTGATGCAGCCCAGGATTCAATTGGCTTTCTGGGCTGCTAACACACACTGCCAGCTCATGGTGAGTTTCTCATCTACCATCACTCTCAAGTCTTTCTCCTCACTGCTGCTCTCAATTCCTTCCCCACCCAACCTGTAGGTGTGCCTGGGATTGCCATGGCCCAGATGTAGGACCTTGCACTTCATTTTGTTGAACTTCATGAGATTTGTATTATTCCACCTCTCAAGCCTGTCAAGGTCCCTCCGGATGGCACATCCCTTCCCTCCAGCATGTCGACTGCCCCACACAGCTTGGTGTGGTCAGCGAACTTGCTGAGGGTGCACTCAATCCCACTGTCCATGTTGCTGACAAAGATGTTGAACAGTATCGGCCCCAGCACCAACCCGAGGGACACCACTCATCATTGGTCTCCACATGGACAACGAGCTGCTGACTACAACCCTGCGTGCGACCATCCAGCCAGTTCTTTATCCACCAAGTGGTCCACCCAGCAAATCCATGTCTCTCCAATTTAGGCACAAGGATTCTCTCAGCCCTTTCTTATACAACATGTTTTCCTGACCTTTTCTGAGCCTCACTGCCCTTCACTGGCCTCTCCCCACACCTCAGTGTCCTTTTTAAAGTGAGGTGTCCAAAACTGAACGCAGCACTCGAAGTGTGAGCTCACCAATACCAAGTACAGGATGACGATCATTTCCCTGGTCCTGCTGCCACTTTATTCTCGATACAGGCCAAGATGCCATTGGCCTTCTTGGCCACGTGCACAAGATTGGCTCATATTGAGCCACTGCTACCAGCATTCCCAAGTCCCTTTCTGACAAACACTCGAGCCACTCCTCCCCCAGCCTGTAGTGCTGCATGGGGTTGTTGTGTCCCAAGTGCAGGACCAGTACTGAGCCTTATTGCAGCTCATGCAGTTGTCCTCCCCACACTGATCAAGATGGTCCAGGTGTCTCTGTAGAGCTTTCCTACCCTCAGGCAGATCCACACTCCCACATAATGCAGCATGGTCTGCAAATTTACTGAGGATGCACCATGCCATCAGAAATTCCTGTTTCCTTCTGTGGAAAAAAGCGCACACTCAAGACTCAAATGAAGCAATACAATATAAAGTTTTAAAAATCTATTACACTGTGATTCCTGGGATCAGTTCCTCACACACAAATATACATTCAGGACAGTTTGAAGTTATTTATCCTATTTTTGTAAGCAGATAGGTGAGTCAAGTTGTTTGCTAGAATACAAAAACACCACAGCTACCCAATCCCAGGGACAGAGTTCTCAGAAATGGAAGTATCAGGGAGCTACACAGCAGATTAAAAGCTGCATTCAGAAGTACCTGAGGGTGAAATGAATCAACAGACTTATTTACTGTATAGTAGTTTTCAGAAACTGTGGGTACAAACCAGTAGGAGGGAGAAGGGGAGAAGGCATGTAAAATCAGGGAAATTCCACTCACCTTCACAGACATACTTGAAGACCGTGTCCCACATTCAATTACCAGCAGGAAATTGCCCTCCTGCCCATTGTCCTGTGGCTGGAGCTTAAACACTGGGAGCTCCCCAACTTCTGATGCACATATTTTAAGACGTTCCAGTCGCACATAGGGGATCTTGTGCTCCTTAGGGCCAGTTCTGTAGTCAAAAGGACACATGGTTAAATTCAGCCATATTCCACAAAATTGTCCTTCCTACTCAGTTTCAAGATTTTTCACGCAATAATTTTGATTTTATTTTTGTGCACCTTTTCCTTTGCCACTGTGACTCTGCTGGCCAAACCCTCAAAATCTTGACATTTTTTCCATGCACCAATTTTTTAAGAAATGTGAATGCAATCACTTTAAATTAATCATATGTGGAATTCAAATTACTCATATGTGAGTAATGTGTATTAGTAACTTTTGTGCTAAAACTTTGCCCTGCTATGTATATTTTCTACAACTCCCTGACAGGGGATTGTAGAGAGGTGGGGGATGGTCTCTCCTGCCATGGCTGCAGGGAGAGGACTGGAGGGAATGGCCATGAGCCGAGACAGGGGAGAGTCAGATTAGATGTTAGGAGAAATGTTTTCCCTGTTAGGGTGTTCAGACAATGGTATAGGTGACCCAGGGAAGTGTTGGAGTCACCATCCCTGGAGGTGTTTTAGAAGTGTCTGGATCTGACACTGGAGGATATGAATTAGGGATATGGTTTAGGGTTTCGGGGCTACAGCAGAGTGGCAGGTTAGTGGTTGGACTCGATGATCTTAGAGATCTCCTCCAACCTTGATGATTCTATGATTCTATGATTTTTGTTTTAATTATCCCAGTTTAAGTCATGCTTGATGCTTTTAAGTGTGGCTGGCTTCAAGTAGGAACACAACACATCAATTTTAGCATTTTATCACACCACTAGCTGAAAACAAAGTTCTACAAAATTGTTAAGATATTGTTAATCCTATCCTCTTCCCATTAGATCTTTTAGGTTTACTTGGGACTTAACAGTTTCTAATTGTTCAAGGAAGATAAGTTTGCAAGTATTTGTTTTATTCTGAAGATTATACAGAATAACAGAAATAAATGCATTCACCACTTCATTTTCATTTTTGTTTTCAAGTTTAAGAGAGCACTTTACAACTTTCAGAGCTATTATCTATCAGGAATCTGGTATTCTTTTAAAGTTCTCCATTATCATTAAATATGACAAATTTTCTAAATACATGCATAAAATTTCACAGCCAGTGCCTTTGTATAAAAAAATACTCTGCTACCTGACATCCTGATTGCTTTTCATATCCATTTCAAAATGTTCCTTTTCACAGTTATTGGAATCTGGAACAGAAGATAAGAAAACGAATAAAATATTTATAATATCACAGGGAGATTAGGGTAGAAAGTACTTCAATATTCATGTACTTCTGAATGGTGTTTAATATGATATCATAAGTGAATTATGGAATCATTTCATCTATATGTATAGAAAATGTGTATGCTGTTTTCTGATCTGGTACAAAGCCTTTGTCTTTCCTTTTTTTTTTTTTTTTTGCTTTTAACCACAGCTTCTGTACTAAATACAAGGAGACTTTACAAAATATTTGGCTGAAATGGTTTCATTCCCAGAGAATTATATATGCACACAGCCATGTCACATTCATCCATATACATGGAACAACATAAGTAATCCTCTTTGCTATACGGCTTTCACTTGAGAAAAACAGACCTACTGAGGTCTGAACCCCTGAGGCTCAGGAAATCTCTGTGGTCTCCAGCTCCATGCTAAGAAGCTTCTGGATAATTCTAGTTACTTGAAAATAGAGAAAATTTTGTCTCCTGTCTGCCGCTGAGGGACAAAAGTGACACTATGCTTCTTTTCTATCCTCCTATGTCTGTAACATATAAACACATGAATTCTAAACTATCTTGTATAAGCATACAAGCAGCTGTAGCTCTCAACTGATACTAGACATAAGAGTAATAAAACAATACTGGGGAGATGGGATAGGGTAGAGATGAAGGCCCCAGGGGATGCCCTCATAAACACCAGTCCACTGACAAATTTCAGACTAACTCCTTCTTTTGTGAGGAGTTAGTTTGCCATAGCCAATACTAACAAGAAACAAACCTAATATGGTTATGTGGAGATAAGTGAAGGCCAGAAAAACATGTTTTGTTAAAGAAAATCTAGCTTGGGCCAAAGGTACCTAACCCATGGCTTGAGAGCAATGTGCCTCTAAGATACTCTGTTGTTCCCAGCCATGGGAAACACAATACAATCAAGACTGAGAAAAAAAGGTGCATTTCACATCACACCTAAGGCATTGTTCACTGTGATTGTTGCTCAGGTGAAGGGTGGTAGTCCTGACATGGACAGAATTACTAAAGGGTGATTGCACACAGCTGAAGGAGAAGCTTTTGTTGCAGTGTCAAACCAGAGGATGTTCCAGTGGTGCTGGGTTCCTAATATTAATCAACATTTCCATCAGCAACTTGGCCCATAAAATAACAGTACCTGAAAGATTTGTGAAAAACACCAAACTAGAGGGGTTGCAAACACTGTGGAGAATGTTTATAGTCAAAAATAGACCTTAGTACATCAGAGAGAAAAAAATCTCCTAAATCAGTAAGACTGAATTGAGATAATTGCATTATGCTTATGAGGGATCAGAGAAATGTAATCACAAGGGCAAAGAACTGGCTAGGGTACTGTTCAGTAAAGGAACTATGGGTTAATGTGGACTGTTCACTAGATGCGAGTCACCCACCTTAAGCTGCTGCTGCCAAAGAAAGGAATGTCTTCCCGCAGCATATTACCAGCAGCCAGGAACAGAAAGCACAAATGGATACTCTGGCTCTGCACAGCACCCCAGAGGCCTCAGCTGCAGCACTGCACTTGGCTGTGAGCAGCACTCCTTAATTGCAGAGAACCCACAATGGCACAGCAGCAATGAAGTGGTTTTGAAAAATCAAACTCCTGAACCACGAGGAGAGACTGAAACCATCAGATTTGTTTAGTCTAGGATAGAGAAGGGGAGGGGAGGGGAGGGTGTTTACGCAAGCCATGATAAGAAGAAAAGTGGCTGTAAGAGGGAAAAGGATGAAATTGTGTGCAATTTTTACCACATCCCTTGTGGCTAGGATAAGAAGTATTTTGTTTTAAATTAAGCTGAAATGTTTAGGTTTGATATTAGGAAAGGATGAGTCATTGGAACTATATACCAGAAGCAATGGGGTTTGGCAGCACAGCACTGCTGAAGCCACTAAGTCCTACAGAGAGCCACCAGCAGGGATAACATTGCCTTTGCAGCAGAATTAACCTCTCTCATTGGTGCACACTGCATATGGTGACTGCATGTCCTCAGGTCTCCCCTCACTGCATGCTGTTATACAGTGACAGCACAACAGGAATTGCTCACTCCTGATCCTTCCTTGTGGAAAGGAAGCAGCACTGAATTCAGTGCTCCAGGGTTTCCATCCTTTTGCACAACAGGCCCTGTGCTTTGTCAGAGAAAATCTGTAGCATCTGTTACAGTGAGATTCTGTATGTTGGTGCTGCTTTCTCTGTGTATTGGCACACAACCCAAACCAGATACTACAAAGCTGCTCCTCTCAGAGACACTTCAGCCTGACTGAGACACAGCTTTTTAGGGGTGCACCTGATTTTTACAACTCACACAAATGATTGTGGCATAATTGTCACAGTTTGGCATAGGACGTAGAAGAGAAGACAAATACATTTCTGCGGCTCACTGAGCTAGGCCTCCTTTGTACTAATTAGAATTCTCTGAATAAAAATACAGCACAGAGATAGAAATATTTATTCATCTTTTATAGAGAAAAGCAGCCAAATATTGGCATAAGTCACGGGATAACAGCTTGATCCTGCAATCCCTTGCCTGCATGAATAGTCCCATTGACTTTCAAGTTTGCAGGAATGAGGCTTTACAGTGTAGCACAAGGATGTTGGCAATTTGCCCATGAAAAGAGTTAAGTAAAGTCTAATTCTCCATTAGACTGAAGAAATGGGCCTTGGCTGAAGTGAATGTTCCACAGCAGACAGAGCCAAGCAAAAGCACACACTGTGCAATGTATTAACCCAACAAAAATTTGGTATGCTGCTGATGTGAAGGACTTAGCAGAAGGCACATTACATTTTGGAAGTAGTTTTTTTTAAATTGAATTTGGACCCTTCAAACCAGCTCTTCAGTAGTCATAACTGCAGGTCTCATTAACTGAAGAGCTTCTCAGAGAACTAATACTCCAGGTACTTCACACAGACACACTCGTTTCTGGTTCACAGATGAAAGATGTTACAAATTCAAAGCATATCATTTCCATGTTTTTCCTCCACAAATGAGATCAAACACACTTTTCCATTGGATTAAGTACTCTGATAATATTTGAAGCCTGCTAGAAAGACACATTTACATGTAAGTATATTAACAAGCATACTGCTTTGCAAAGCTTGCAGTGCACAATGCTAAGACCAAAAACCTAAGTGGAATAATTAAAAGCCTGGTACCTTCTTTGCTTCTAAGTTGTCCCAGTCTGGCATTCACGGGCAGGAAAGCAGTATTGCTGAGTAGTTCAGTAGAAGTGCAATTTTGAGATCTTTTGATTGAAAGATTAATAGGTTCTTCCATCACTTTTTGCATAGAAAGAGTTAATTCATTAACTACATCTTGCCCAGCAGTAGCTGGGCTGTTTTCTAGAAGACAATCTACAGTATTGAAGTCTTCATTTTCCAGCTGCAGGGGGGGGGAGGGGGAGGGGAAGAAACACAAATTTTACTATTAGTTTTCTTTCTTTCCATGGTAAGAAAATCATTTGTGATCAGTTTTCAAATACCAGATAAGAAAAACTTTACTTATTGAAAAAGCTACCTTTGACTGATTGATTAATAATAACATGCTATATATGAAAGTGGATTCCCTCTCAGTACAGGAGTTTAAGTGATTCCTACCTTGCATTTAGTACTGCCCTGGAGTGCATCACCTGGTGCAAGGCCAGCAGCAGCCCCAGGGCTCGGGTCACTTGGAGCTCTGCCCAATGCCAGGCTGTAGCTGGGCACTGGCTCTGGTGGAGTATTACAGTGGCAAAGGGCATTTGGGATTGGGCCAAGTGTTACAGCAGCTGCACTTTTCATCTGTGGATCAGCCGAGCTAGATAGCCTTGTTGGAGGTAATTCCATTTCGAAATCGTTGGAAAAGTCCACAATGCTGAAGGATGCTGAACACTGGGGAAAACAAAAAGGAAAAAAGCCAAATATATTAATAAGCTTTTCAGCAGCAAAATGATACTGTTCTTTCTATAATAGATGAGATACTCTGTTTCAGCTAGACATAAAGAAACAGTTGTGTCATGAAGGCTCTAAGTATCTATAGTAATACAATACTATTTCCAAAAGCTTTAGATTTTCCTCCATTAAAACTGAATACTGGAAAACGAGACAACTAGGTTACACTTCTGTGATTTACAAAAAGCATCTTCTTTAGATCGGTCCAAGGGATCCTGATTTTTTAACTCCTACAATGAGTGAGAAATTAAAGCATGTAGAATACTGTACCAAATCAAGCCTTAATACAAATCCTACTAGCTTCCATTAAGCTATTCCAGATAAATAAGATCCAAAACAGAAATTTTATCACTTTATTAAAAAGGTCATCATATAATTTTATTCAGAAAAAAAGATTCCAAAGAAATAACTTATCTGGCACAAGTGAATGAAGCTTTTTCCTGTTAACAATGCTGAAAACTTTATGCTAGTTAGTGAGTCTGTCCCATTAAAACCTAAGGCATTTGCTCTTTAAATGTCATAGTGTGAATCCAGAGACATCCTACATGTACTAATAAGGATGTACATGTCTAGTTTCCAAAGAAAGGGAGTATTTACTGAAATTGCAACATGCATTTTCTACTGTCTCATGATTCGTCACTATCAAACCCACAGAGCTACTGTTGTGTAAACCAAAGCAAATCCACCCATCCAGGTGACTTCCTTAAGCTGCCTTACATCCAGGAATGTGTGACTGTATCGAAAACAGGACTCTTCCAGCACCCATATGTGGCAAACATAAGCAGTTTTAAGAAGCATGCAGATCTGTATCATTTGAATATGCAATTTTTCCTTTAATTTCATTATAGTTTGTTGGTGTTTCACCCTTGATAATTGACTGAATATATCCTTTTCATATGACTACAGTACAGTAAGTAGCACTCATTTTAACATAAATCAAGACAGAAGAAATAAGCTGATTGCATCTGAATTAGAGTTTAAACTCAATGTAGCACTTATTTTTCTGCTAAGAGCCTGTGACTGAGAAGTGAATCTGAGACAGGACCCATTTCTTAGCTCTAATTAGTACTTTTCTCAACTTCTACTCCATTTTGGATTTTGATACCTTTGTCCATCCTAACCCCACAGTGGCAATGACAGCAGCCTAGATTGAGCTGCCAGTTGTGCCTGTGTAAATCCTACATAATGCAAAATCAGTCTTGAATTCCCCTGCTTGCAATGCACATCAGCTCTGTGCTACAAGAACAATCTGCCCACAGACACTAATTTTCACCTAAGGATGTAATTTAATTCCCTTTTTGTCAATTTGCAATAGATGCTACAGTGGAAGCTTTGCTTGAACAGTGACCACTTATTTTGATGAGACAAAATAGCCTGCATTTGGGACAGAAGGAGGTTAACTCTCCTGCAGTGCTAGGCAAGGTTTGTGCCATCCTACCATCATGCAGTTCTCCAGTGAGTCTGCTTTAAATAGTCACTTCATGTAGAAGGCATCCCAGAGAGCACTGGGTCTGTGCAGCCAGACTATTGGTCATTTTCCTGTTCTTGAGTCAAATTAACACCCCTGAATCTAAGCTCTCTGAGCTACAACAGCTTCTTGGAAGCAGCTGGAACTTGACAAACCTGTTCTTCCTACCTTCTATTTGAGGTGAAGACTAGAACACAGCAAATGAGGAAATGTATTGGTGGAGGTACAAGTTGCCATACAGTCTGTCTGATAGAGCAATCCTAAGAATACTGAGATTTCAAACCAAAGTTATATATGTAGGTCAGAAAGGAATTCAGCTTTCATGGCCACATATCCTAAAGAAGTCCACAAAGATCAAAAATGCTTATTTGCTGCCATAACTTGCTTGTGACAGGTTCTTGCACATGGAGTGACAAATGTGGACTATCAAGTACACATTTTCATTTTCATTCCATCACTCTTTTTATCACTAACTTTCTTAGGATGATAAAATAAACATGTGAATTGTTCCCATATCACTTACAGAAAATAAAACAAATAAGCAGAATTGAAATGAACAGATGGACTGTAATCAGCCCTGCCTTTTCCCCTTATTTTGAAGTCCATTGTGAGTGTTAATTAAGTCCCTGTGAGGTACTTAAATCCTTGTTTAGTCAGATTCTCAAAAGCACCATCCACAAATCCCTGAGTCAAAAGGAGCTACCCAATGCCATGCTCCATTGGAAATGTGCATGCTGAGGCACACACGTGGCAGGCACACCACCCAAAGCTTCATAGAGAGTTAGCTGGAGATCTTCTGGCCATTCCCTTCTTCTAATCATCATACAAACCTTCCTTTACTCATTTACAAGTCTGTGCTGTCATCTGTTCTGTACTGAGACCCAACCCTGTGAGACCTGTCTGTGTGTACACAAACACACCTCAGGTGAAATGTTAGCCCTACTAAGGCAATGGTAGGATTACTCCAGGCTTCAGTCAGCCAAGCTTACTTACTGGGAGTAGTTGTGGGGATGACTCCTACTGAAGAAAAAAAAGAGATAGACACATACATAAGATTTTGTCATAACTAAAATTTTCATAAAGGTGAAATTCAATTGCATTATATGGCTATATCTTTTTGACTCTTCTAACCAGTATCAGTTTCTCCAGAGATCTTTTTAGATTATATAAGCCAACGTAAAACCTTAGTCTTGTTAAAAAGAAAAAAGAATAATGAGGCCATCAAACTGCCATCTGTCTTTCCCTTGGGGCAAAAGTTAATTTTGTGGTTATTTTAATGATGAAGCAACATTATGATCTTTCAGTGCAAAATATTAAAACTCACAGTTAAGAACAGACACATTCCATTCTGATCCATGAAGCTGCTGTCAAGTGTGAAGTGAACAATGCACTGGGAACAAGGCTCATTAATAGCCTATTAACTCACTCCCTAAAATAATCATTTCTTTTGCCATTAGCAAAAATTTCTCTTTTCCCTTGACAGTTCAGCTAGTTTTTGCAAATGGGATGCCTTTAAAGAATTTATCTCTGTTTTATAAAAGCTCTATTGCTTTTACATTGCACCGTTTGAACAACAACAAGCATTAATTATGCTCTTGGGCAGAGGGTGGCTTCAGCTGTAGGTTAATTTTGAACTTTTTGACATTTTAATGTACAGCCTGGCACATTGAACTACATCTGTGTCATTATAAATGGAACTCTCATTGTCTCATAATTAATTTTGGTCTGATGATCCTTAGAACATAATGGCAGCAGCTGCAGCACAACCCAAAATGCCTTCTACCACAAATTTCTTAGCTATGGTAGTGAAAGGTGAGAAGAAAGAACATGCAAAGTGCCTCCAGAGAACAAATAATAAACATATGGTTCAGTTCAAATATTTCTTTGATCACTGTTGCATTTAAAAAGGTCCAGTGTAAACATGCAGCACTAATACAGAAGAATTCTGAGAAGCAAATACTTACCTTGAAACAGTGGGATTAGGATTTGTTAGGATTGTTTTGGCAAAGTCTCAAGGCTGTTGACATTAAGTGTCACAGATAAAGAAAGCTAAAACTAGGAACCTCCAATTCTCTTTGCTATAAGAGAAATAACACGCTGCAAATGGTTGCAGAGTAATGAACGGCTGCTATTAAGTGGAGCAATCCCCCTGGCAGCTCATTATGCTAGAAGGTTAAACAAATGTACTACTCCAATCCAGTTGCTTAACTCACCACACACAGCAGCAGTGATAACACAGGCTACACATGCTTCCAATTCGTATTTCCCAGTTTCAGAATAGAATCCAAAGGATTTCCTTTCCAGTTTTATGAGAAAAAGAATCCAAATCTTCCTTAACATTTTGTCTGAATAAACTGCAGCTGGCTTAAAGCAGAAGGAGGAAGAGATTGTGTGGAGCAAGCAGCATCATGTTTTATTTATCCTTTTTTTTCAGGTCAAAGGAAAAAGGTTTTATTAAATTAACATTCTGGGAAATATACCTAATTGCATTAAGCATGAATGCATTTGTGCTATAAGCAGCTCAATTCTGTAACACAAAATAAATACTCTGTTACTTTCGGAATTTACAGGACCCTAAATTCCATGCTGTTAATATTTCCTTCATCACTAATTGCCCTAAAATTAATAGCAATAAAGGGAAAAAACAGCAACAACAAACCCACTTTGGTCCCAAGCTCAGATTTGAAGTTATAGTGTTGAATATTAAATTATTATTACTTTCAGTCACTAAGTAATCACAACATGCTCTGTGCAATACTAACAAAAAATAAAACGTGTACTCTACCCTCCAACCCCCTCCCACAAATTTCACACGCTTTTAAGGATAAAAAAGAAAAAGAAACCAACAAAACCACCCCAAACATGCTAGTTAATGCATTGCCCCCAAGATGGAAGAGGAGCCATTAATAAAGCTTAGGACAAATGTGCTGGGGTAAAATACCCAAGAATGTCACCAACCGCAGACTGAGTTCAACTGTTCTCTCTGATAATCCTGTAGTAACAGCAGCACTGGCATGTCAAAGACTAGAAATTCATGTGTCAAGTTCTAGGAGAGGCTGAGAGGTTCCACCATGAACTGTTAACATAGCGACAGTTAACCTTGCACAAAATGCCACCATTGCATATCATTGGAATAAAAGAGAAACCTCTCAGAGTGCTCTGAAGAGTGCTCCTTGGATGGCATGGAATATTTTCTAGCATTTCCTCATTTCAGGTACTTTATGGTGCTTGAGACAAACAGAGCCTTGAACTAAGAAGTCGGGACTTATTGCAAATCAAAAAGAACAATACAGAAATCACCATTATAGCACTATATGATGTTTCCATGTGCTTACACTTTCATTTCTATTTCTGGTCACCCTGTCTCAAAAATTATTTATCAAAACCACAAAGTATATGGAAAATGGCCACAGACATAAAGGACCAAAGTATAGAATGCTTTCCATAAAAAAAGAAAGCAAAAACCCAAAAA